TTATCTTTTAAGTGTATATTTTGATCTTTTTTTTTTGTCGGCAATTAGCTCAATCTTTCCATATTGCTAGCATATGACATTACGATGTTTGGATCCATTTTTTTATTGTGTTATATTATTTATATCACCATTGCTTATACTCCGTAAATCTTCTATTACCTTAATAGTAAAAGTAGAAAAAAATCGAGTCTTCATTTGGTTACATCTTCGAATATGCTCTTCTTGGATTAAGTCGCGAACATCTAATAGGAACCGTTAGCTATCACCAGAGTTCTATAGCAGCACTGTAGAAGTGATGATAACAAGCTCAAGTTTTGAACTCCATTAAGTTGATATTAATTCAACTCAACTAATTTATGATCAGAAAAAAAAAAACTAATTTATGATCAGAATAAATTCATTAATATATTTTGTAATAGATGCACCATCTACCATCTTGAGATTAAAGAGTTATCTCATTTGAAGTATATTGTTTACTCATGATAGCTTCTCGTACAATATTTGACAGATTTATGATCACTTCAATTATGTCTTCTCGTCTTCTCGTATAGCATGCTGAATGAACATTCTTGATTGTTGATCGGCATATAATTCTGAAAGCTTTTTGTTTAGAAACTTTTTGAACATAGCTGATGTTTCTTTTGATTCATGTAAGCCTTTGATTTGCATCTTTCAACATCCAAAATATTTTTCATTGTACTTCTCAATCTTGTCAATCTTTATTTTTTTTATCCTCAATAGCTATTGCTTAATCTTATTTGAATGGATAGTTCATTAGTATTTATCAAGAAATCATTTATTTTGAATTTTACTCTTTTCTTATTCTAAAGATCAGGCTTGATTAAGTAATGTATCCGGTCCAACAACCAAAAACACTTGAGACTAAGGCTTCGTTTGTGACAGCTTTCTTACTGCTTTCTAAAACAGCTTTCATGTGCAAAAATTTCTGGTTAAATTTTTTTTGTAACGAAAAGCTACTTTAGAAAATAGTAAGAAAGTTATCCCAAAAAAAGCCTAAGGGAACGCTCAGTTCATGAGGCTCCTGTTAGTATGGGATTTGGAGCGAGTTTATGCTTGCAATCTTTACCATGTATTTCAAGATTGAAACTGTGGTTCTAACTTTTTATGTCGGTTACAATGGGTGAGGTAACATAACCATTGTTTTGTGTTAGCCTTCGAGGAAATATATAAGAAGGGAGTGATAATTATAATCTAAAGTATTGTTGGCTTAGTGTGGTACAAGAGAATGATAAACAGTTATAGAGAAATAACACCTTAACCCAAGACGTGGGTAGTTTGGTTGAGGCTACAAAGCAAGTGTTATTATTCCATATTTTCGGAAAACTAAGAAACTATTTGACATGATTTTACGGGTAAATGATCATTTACTACTTCAATGGCTCAGTTTGAAGCATGGATCTGTATCCTTTACCCAAAATTTGATGATCAATTCTGTAGCCAAGCCTCATTTTTGTTTCCTGCTCTGTTCGTCATCTTTCTGAATTTATTCCTTTATAAACATTTATCATATTCCATCACATCTTTAGTTACTCTGTTCTTTTATCCGTTGATTCTACTATATATCATTTCAAAAAAAAAAAGAAAAATAGAACTTTTAGTAATATATATTTGTCTTTATCAGGCAATTCCTGACCGTGAATGCATGTCCAATGTAGTTAACCAGTTCAGCTTTCTTGGGGCGCTCAAACGGTTCCTTAAGACGACCTGCTGTTTCTAGTAGTCAAGATGCGGCGGCGACTTCCAACGATCTCACTTCTGAAGCCATCCATGTCCCTTCCCACAGAGTTCCTACTAATCAGATTTATTCCCCTCCAGCCGCTTCTTCTGAAACAAACAAGCACACACTGCCTGGAAGGAATACATCTATCATTAAGAACTACGAATCCACACTCAAAGGCATGGAGAGGCTCAATTTTGACAACGATAAAAGTGTCTAGTAGTGAAAACTATCTTCCACTGTAAATTATGTGTTGGGAGTGCATGAAATAGTTCAGAAACCCTTAGTATCAGTATGCATTTTCAGCAGCAAGTGTGATATTTTCGTTAAAAGCATCATCAATATGAGACTAAGGTTTTTTTTTGGGACGGTTTTTTACTGTTTTCTAAAGTAAATTTTTAGTACAAAAGACTAAAAAAGTTTGTACTTAAAAATTATTTATAAAAACAGTAAAAAAATCGTCTCGAAAAGAAGCCTAAGTGAGAAGATGGGCATGAGAGAATAAATTATGGCTGAGGCCTGTGGAGGGAAGATTTCTTTGTATCTATATTTGCTTTCTTCCTCATGTTTGCTTCTGTTCCTTTGGAATCAGTTAATTGATTTCTTTTCCTTTTTTTTATTGGAAATGTTTTATATTATGTTGCTACGATACTTTTGTGTAATTCACTTTTTTATTCCCCCTCTAAACTTGTACTGTGGATTGATATGGCTTTCAATTGAGAATTGCCCGACTGGAATTTTGCAAGCAGTCAACTCTCTTGCTAGATGTTTTTGGTCCTAGTTTGATATTTTAGATCTTTGATAGCATGCTCTACTGGAATAAATTTTTAATGTGGGGGAGAAATTATTACTTGCGGAGATTGGATACAGAGAACCGTCCGATTTATTTTTATGAATAGTAAAAAATTTTACGGTTATGTGATTTTACTATTCATAGAGAGTGGAACGATTCTGTCTGTTTTTTGCACGTAATAATCTCTTCTAATGTAGACTTCATTTGAGATAGTATTTTTATTGTTTTATTTTAAATAATTTTTTAGTATAAAACTTTTTGAATAAAAAAATTTTATACTAAAAAATTATTTCATAGAATGTTGTACCATATGAAATCACAATTAATAGGGACTCCATGTTTTTCTATTGTTTTCTTGGTATGGTGTTCAAAATTTTAAGGGGCAAACTAACTTAAGATCTATGGTTTTATGATTGGCCTCAAATTATTTGTTAATCTTATGACTTGAAAAAGTTGTTATTATGTTTAAATTAATGAAAAATATTATTTATTATTATAATCATTTTAGATGTGATTATTAAAATATGAATATGATTATTATTATTTTATGTATGATTATTCAAATTTAAAATGGGGGTATTGTTAAATTGTTATTTTTCTGTAAATTATTATTCAGTGATTATGTTTAGATTTAGACTAGTCATATGTTATTTTAATAATTACATTGAAAGTTATAGAAGTCAAATATATTATTTTAGTACATATATGTTTTAAATAACAGTAATTATGTTCGTAAAATTTTTATTTTATTGTTAATTTGGACTAGGAAGTTTTATAATCAATATTTAATAAATTAATTTGTGATCAATTATGGGCCAATAATTATGAGAATAAAACATAAAAAATTTAGTAATGTATGAATTGTGTTGGGAGTAAAGAAAGCTAAGATGTTTGATAAAACTAAATAGGTTAATAGCGCAAATTGATTGAATCAAAAAGGCCCCTTTAGTAAACAATTTTTATTTATTTTTTCAAAAAATAGTAAACATTTTTTAGAATAATTTTGTAGGAAAATAAGATTAAATGGTTTTATAAAACTGTCCCAAACAAAATCTTAATGAGCCAAAGAGTTTTAATAAGATTTTCAGATAGCTTTTATTGAACTCTAAAGACATGATTGAGTACATTACTATGAAATTTCAATTTCACTAAAGAATTATAGATATCAACAATAAATAGTTTTGATGATTATTACATATTTAAACTAAGCTCATTATGCATGATTGTGCATCACCATTTCTCTTCTGCTTGGATGCTTACTCTCTTCTTCATGCTTCACCACCTTACTGCTAATGGAGCCTTTAAGGCTATATCTCTTATGATACCTTAAGGTACTCTCTCTCTCTCTCTCTCTCACTAGTTTTGATGACAGTTCTCTTAAATATTTGTTTTTTGAGACTTTGAATGAAATTAATCATAAGCTCAAAAAAGTTTAAGCTCCCAACCAATTGACTATGGTGGATTGCATCAATCCTCTTAAATGTTGTGTGCTTTTTCTAAAGGAATTGGGAACCAAAGTTGTCTTTTGGCTATTATCAACTTTCTTCCTCCAAGTTGCATCTTACATACTTTCTTCTTCCCTCACTGGTTGCCAGATTCTCAATAAAGTCTGTCAAATCTAATTGCTCAAAGTTCAAAACTTATATAAATTGGATGTAATAATGCCAAGCATCTTTCAATGTCCAGAACACTAAAGCTCATCAAGCATAACATTTGTAGTATTGCTTTCTTGGTTAGATTCCTTTCAATCACTAAACGCGTTCTTAGAAAGATTGACTACAAGTGTTTCAAGTTTTTAATTTTAATTTTTTTTTATTTTTTATGGTGGAGCTGATAAGAAGCTTTGTATTGTCTCTTGGATTAACAAGTTTGCCCTAAAAGAAGAAAGAGTCTGTGATCCTTCCATTTCTATGCTCAATCAGACTAGAAAACTAAAGTGATTTGGAATTTTATTCACAACTGCGGCTCTACCTTGTAAGATGTTGGAAATACGGTCAGGAATTGGTTCAATTTTAGGATAGTTGAATCCTAGGTTTATTTTATTCTAATACATCTCTATATATAGAGAGGTTGTGATAGGCTTTTACAGCCAAGCCAAGCCAATAAAGATTAGTTATGTTTCTCCTCTCTCTCCCTCTTCGAAGAAGCTCAAGCACCTTCTTCCTTACAAGAATCCTACAAGTGGTATTAGAGCCTCGTGGAGGCAATCACAAGGTGGAGGAAGGTTATTGTCCAATAAAGGAGTAGGAAGAGGTTTCTTGGTAGATTGTGCGGACATGCCGACGGACTGCCTGGGTCAGACGCATGGGTAATAGGAGAATGCGGAAGGGCCGTGTGCTAAGATGGTGCCGATCGCGTAAGACAGAGCAGAGTACGCATGAGCGGCGGGAACGCATGGGGCAGAAGGGCAGGGTGCGGGGCGGATCGCGGGGTGCGGTGAGCCCGGCGTGGGAGCATAAAGCCAGGAGGCACACCCAGTGAGAAGTGGAGCAGACGGAGTGCAGGATTCTCACGTGAACAGGGAGTTCAAGCAGGTGCAGGTGCAGAATCAAATCACGGGTTCACAACAGGCAAGCGCAGGGTCGACACACGTACAAGGTGTTGAAGCTGGGTCGGAGCGCGTATGGGCGCTTGAGCCCAGAAAGGAGACGTGGTTGCAGGACTGTAGTCAGCCAGGGGGGAGAGCGGCGTAGGGCTTGAGCTGTTCAGTCATTAAAGTTAATTTGTGCGGAAGAATTAGAGCGGGAGATTGTGTCTGGTCCAACAGGCATCAGTTGGAGGTCTTCGAAGGAGGTCAGAGCCGAGAATCACACTGGTTAAGGCAATTGATTGGTGTAGAACTTTCTTGCCTGTTCCTAAGGAACAGTAGGTGGAGTATAAACAACTATTACTCCAAATCATGTCGATGCAAAAGTTCAAAATCAACAAATTTACAGCTTATGGAGAATCAAAATAAAGACACTTCTTCTTTATTAAGGAACTTTTGAGTCAATTTCCTGAGAAGATCGGATTGAATAAGAAGGAGACAAAGCTTAGGCTTGGGCTCCGGAGGTTGGATTTGCCAAAGCGGATGGACAACGCTTGGCTGAGTCTCGGTATGTCGAGGAGGATTGTAGCAAGAGCAAGATGAAGTTGCATTTTTTTTTGTAAAATCTGGACAAGTTAGTGATTGTTAGGAATTGGTTCAATTTTTGGATAGTTGAATCCTAGGTTCATTTTATCCTAATAAGTCTCTATATATAGAGAGGTTGTAATAGGCTTCTAAACCCAAGCTAAGCCAATAAAGATTTGTTATGTTTCTCCTCTCTCCCTCTCTCCCTCTTCCAAGAAGCTCAAGCAACTTAATCTTCCTTCCAAGAATCCTACTAATACAAATATCCCTTGACTTGCTTATCCCTCCTAAAAGAGTTCTATTTCTATTAGTGATTTTAACAATATTTGTCGATTTCATGATCATTGATTTATGAAGCTAACCCTCATAAGAGGTTAAAGGCTAACAAATAATGATGATTTTGATGACATCCTCAATGGTATTGTGCAGCATATTAATGTTTTAAAAAATAGGTGAAAACCATCAGTTTAAGGATACTACATAAATTAATTAAACCAAAACCCTTCTGCTTTTCAAAGTGAAAATCAGATTATTACTAAAAACATTATTCACAGTACTTATTCCTGGTTTCTTCACACAGAATATCAACCAACTACGGCATATATGCTTACCCAATGATTTTTAAGAAGACATAATTCTTCAGTTAGTGCAGACCAGAAACAGCCATAATCATTTAGAAGGTCATATTGATGCACTCTTCTCTGATTTCCTCAAATAATTCAGTGCTTAAATATCTTTCCCCAGCACTAGCGAAGACTGTTACTATCATCTTCCCTTTGTTTTCTTCCCTCTTGCCAATCTAAAAAGATCAAAAAACAAAAATATGAATCAAAACAGAAAGTTAAAGACTTTTTTTTTGTTAGGAGGAAAAAAGGGAGGGAGAGCCAACTTTTAAGGAGGCAGCTAAGCATGCTCCAGATGAAATACCCATAACCAATCCTTCCTCTAGTGCAAGCCTTCTGGCTTGGGTCATTGCTTCTGCTGTGGTCACTGTGATGATTTCATCAATCTGTGAAGTGTCCAGGATTTCTGGAACAAATCCTGGTCCAAGACCCTGAATGTTGTGTGGTCCAGGTTGACCTCCTGTGCCATGTAATTCAGGACTACATTGCTCAAGATTCATAAACTACCAACAACATTAAGTATTCGTTTGGGACGGCTTTCTCATTGCTTCTTAAAGCAGCTTTTAGTATAAAATTTTTAAGTTTTGTACTAGAAAGCTGCTTTAAGAAGTAATAAGAAAGCCGTCCCAAACGAAGCCTAAGACTGAGATCAAAGAATAAAACTAGCTAGATAATGGAGAATAGTTTAGAAATCTAGCTAGACAACAATGTTAGAACACCTGACCCAGAAATAAAACCCCAGTGATCCCATGTATTTCACAATTTAAAAACATTCGGTAAAAGTAAAATAGAATGAAGAACTTACATATTTAATCACAAACTATTTGAAAATCTCTGAATTTTAAAATCATCATTATTTTATCATGAAATAGGAGCTATCCCTTAAAATTTTTGATGCATCCACATGATGATGAAATGATCTTGAAAATTCTTAAGCCAAACAAGCCACTGATTTTAATGATGGTGAAGAGAATGAATGATTTTTATCTTATGCTTGAATTCCATTATATCATCTTTTAATTGGGTGTGGAATTGTTGACCTTTAAATTCCATGATCGATTCGAGCTCATGCAATGATAAAATTTCTTTCTTTACACTGTACTCTCTCTCCTTCACACTATTCTCTTTTTATTTTTTTTTGACACTCTCTCCTATTTTCTCTCTCTAAGAAGAGAGAAAACTACCTCGGCCATTATCAACCCTCTCAACATTTCTCTCTCCTCCCTCTAATCTTTCTCCTTATTTCTCTCTAAATGTTTAGAGAGAACAAAAACCATCACTTCTCTCTCTCTCTCTCTCCATTCCATTCGTCCCCTTCCTCTCTATATTTATATATATGTTTATATACATTTAAAACAAAAAAAAAGAGGAAAAATGATATTAGAAAAAAGAGAGGAATATTAAAAAAATTGGAGTTCTTTCCATCACAATTCCTCATTAGTGTGGCATTGCATAAACTTATAAACTCATAAACACTAACAAATCTTCAAAATCTCAAATGCGATCCATTTAGTGTACCGAGTGGAACCTGCATATGCTTTTCTTATCGTGGCAAGAAAAACTCATAGGTGACATTCGTAATGCAACATATAAGTAATGTGCATGCTTTTCTTAGCAGGAAAAAAAAAATTGTGCGTCTTGTTTGACACGAAGATGAAACTCTATAAATTTCAAAAACAAGTATTTGAAAACTTAGCATATTTTTTTGTTGTGTTTGGATAAAAGGCTCTTGAATGTGGTGTCATACGACACCGATCATACATACTTGACATAGTGGCAATGCCTAGTACTCCCGATGATGACTCTTATACGAAGAAGACGTGGTGAGGTTATTGAAATTCAAGATGAGAGGAAAATATGATTAGGATCTTAAATGAAGTATTCAAACAAAATACAGTTAAAAATCATTTAAAATTAAAGACAATACTCGAACATAAATTGAACTTAAATGAAATTTGTGATGAATATGGAGAATTCGTATATGGGCAAAAATATAATTGTCTAACTCTCTTGAACACTAAAGTCTTCAAGAACACACTTTGTTAACCAAACTTGGAGTGAAAATGAACTTAAGGGCTCTCTTAGTTATAACATGAAAATTAATTTGTTATGGGGTCCACTTAACTAAAAGAGGTCAGTCTAAAAAAATATGAAAAATTGAGGATAGTGTAAAAAATGTTCTAAGTTTCTAATTTGTGATATCACCACCGAATCCGCAACACATGTTTGCCAACAAATACAAATTGGAGGACGAAGAGCTTGGTGAAGCTGAAACAATGCCTTCGAGGTAAACTAGAGCATACAATATATTGTCACATATGATAACAAGCAAAGTCTGTCAACAAAGGTGCAAATATTTTCCTTTTTTTAATTCATTAACATGACTTGGTTGCTCCTACAAACTTTTTTGTCCAAAAATTATGGAATAGTAACTCTACCCTATTATAGCCTTCTGCTCTAAACAAAGAAACCATAAATTTTTCCAACAAATAAAAATTCAAATATCACCTGAAATGACTGCACTCTCTGCTGGTTCAACACAAATGATCTTGATAGCTGGATTTTTCATTTTGAGAAATCTTGCAGCTCCACTAATTGTACCTCCAGACCCAGAACCACATACAAAAATATCAACTTTGCCAGCCGTATCCTTCCATATTTCCGGTCCTGAAAGAGAATATTTAGTTTCTATGTAAAAGATAACAGAAAGATGACTTGCACATGCGAAAAAAAAAGAGGAAAAACAATTAGCTTACAACAGTTTTTATGAAATGCAAAGATAACTATAAGATAAATTTCAAATAAGATTTGCTTTATAGAAAGTAACCTACAAGATGGAGATAGTGGACCATTTGGGCCTTAAAATTTTTTTTTTCAGTGTAAGAGACGTTGGCTGTGAATTCTTTGAATAGGCTCTTATAAACAAATAGATATATCTTTCAGAAAGCAAAATAGCCAATGAAGAAAAGGTTGTGAGAATATGCACCAGTGCTTAGAAAGTGTGCCTCAGGATTTGCTGGATTAGTTGTTTGATCTAGAACAAATATATTAGGATCCTTCTCTTTTAGTTGATCTACAGTGGTATATATTGCCTTGATCCCTAGTTTAGGATCTGTAAGAAAATCAAGCAACAAATTTAGAGTGAATAAACCTGTGGGAGATGAAAAGATATAAAATAGTTTCAGTTTTATATGTTTGGAATATTGCAGTAAACAATGTATTCTTCACTGCACAAGGAGAAATTTAATGCCGGGGGATTGAATTCAACAATAACTTCTAAAATCTTTCAAACCAGCACTCACTTAAAATAGAACTTTTATAACAGTTCTCAATTCTTGTCATTATTAAAATTACATAAAAGATCAAAACCTTTCGTTCTTACCAGTTAGTAACACTTGGGCCCCCAAATATCTTAATAGCATGCGTCTCTCAACAGAGTAGTTAGCTGGCATAATAGCAAGGAACTTGTAGCCTTTCCTAATAGCTATAAATGCGAAAGAAATGCCTAGATTTCCGCTGGTTGGCCCTACCAATGTATTTATGCCTGGTTTAATGAGGCCTTTCTCTTCTGCATCTTCTATCATTCTGCCAAAAAAAGAGAGAGAGAGAGAGAGAATATTGGCCAAGCAGGTGTAAATTTCACTAAAAGGTTAAGTATAATGTAATTGCCATTGGACCAACTATGTAACATTGGTTTTGGTTTAAGTATAGGAAACAAGGTAGTCAATAATGGAAAATTTAGGCTTCGTTTGAAATGACTTTCTTACTGCTTCTTAAAGAAAGCCGTCTCAAATGAAGCCTTAAAGTGGCAAAATGAGAATGAGAAGATATGATGAAAATAGAAATGATAAAATGACAGAATTATGTCAGAAAAATAGAGAGTAACACCTGTTAGAGGCAGTCTGGTTCAGAAATAGAAGTGGATTGAACATATTTAGTGTAGGGCATGAAGTAAATTGGCAGAATTAATATGAAAGGATGAGAAAGAAAAGAAGAAACATCAAAGATAACATGATTAGAAGCAGTGCAAAGAAATTTGAATAACATGCTAACTTTAATTTTAATGTAGCACTTAAAAGGAGTGAATAATGAAGGAGGTTAGTTAATTCACCCCTAACTACTTGAGATAAGGCTAATGTTAATGATGATGATCATAAAGTATTTCATAGAAAGCACAATCTCTTCTTGAAAATGAAAGGATTAAATCCATAGTCATCTGACTATTTGTGTGGCCAATTTAATCTCCAAGTATTACACTTCTTCAATTTAGCCACTTGACTAAACAAAAGTGATCCAAAATAGTCCATTGTATATGATACAAAAAATTAATTCCAATTTAGGCTTCATTTGGGACGGCTTTCTTTCTGCGTCATAAAGCTGCTTTCTAATACAAAAATTAAAATTTTTATACTAGAAAGCTGCTTTAAGAAGCAGTAAGAAAGCCGTCCCAAACAAAACCTTAGTCTCTCGATCATAAGAAATTAATGTCAAATTAATCCCTGAGAAAGCATTTTGGATCAATTTTATATAGTCGAGAAACTAAATTAGGTAAATATGATATTCGGAGATTAAATTGGCTACATACCAAATGTCTAAAAACTATTTAGGCATTTAAATCGAAAATAAAGTAACTATAGTTTGCTTAAGGAGTTGTATATGCATGCCTACCTGAGTGCTCCACGGTCCTTAACGGAGCAAAGAGGTTGATATGACTCAAGTTTGCCAACCAACCGGATATGCAGTCCTTCCTTTTCTACAATCCTTTTAAGTTCTATCAATGGTGTCCATCCAATTAGCTGGAAAAATATTTACAGAAGTAAATCTTTCCATACATTTGAACATTAATTAAATAGAATGGGGGTATGAAAACATGCTACAGTAGTGCTATCCAGTAATAAAGGTATTAAGCAATATAATCATCCCAATGCATTGCAAGTATTGGTTTCCTCTCATGCATCTTATAAGGTCATTCACATATAGGATAAGAACTGCTTCCTTCCTCCATTTTCTTCTTTCTTATAAAGATGACTGAGCAACATGTAAGCAAGATGATGCCTTCCAAGTAAGGAATGCACCATGTGGATAGTGAATCCTTCAATCTCTTATAGGAGAGTGAACTAAAATGAAGCCTGTGATGACTTGATGAAGAGAGTGTAACAGTCCAGCCTTCCATTCAACCAGAATAACATGAACTCCAACACCAATTTGATTTAAAAAGAATTATGGGAGATACTTTATCATTAGGTTCTAGCATCATCTTTTTTTTTTTTCTTTCTATTTCAATCTAAGTAGATTTATTTCTAAGATAATTAAATTAATTTTCTTTCTTCTAAAGCCAAAGTCTTTATACTAAGCTGGAGGGCTATAATAAGATCATCTCCAGCTGAACGCCTAACAGTCGTTTGGAGTCCGTCGTTTGCTCCAGCCGATCACCAAAATAAACACCATTCGTGTGAGGGTGAACAGTGCAAGACCAATATTGGCATCACACTGCTCACACGCTATTTTTTTTTTAAATCCAAAAATTAAGTTAAATAAATTATGAGAAAGAATATACTCCGAATATTCTCTTTTTAGTATTAGAAAATGGAGTTCGGTTGGAGACTAGTTACTACATTTTAGAGTGAAAATTTAGTTTTTCGGTTGGAGATGGCCTAACTTAATGGGCATATTGCTCTCCACATTTAGCCATAGCAGATTGTAAGGGGGAAAAAAAAAAATCTATGGGGAGTATCCTAGCACAGGAAATGAATGCACCTGCTCATCTATCTCATCTGAAGCTCCAGCTTTCTCAGAACAAATAATTTGAATGCATTTAAGTTTTATTCATGATTTCAAATGAGCTCATAACGCCAAATGCTGCAGTCATGTAAGAGATCTCTTTTAATCATATTTGATCGACCAAAATTTATGGTCAACGATCGATGGCACAAAGGCTATCATGCCAGGTAATTGCCCAATTAATAGAGAAGCAAGGGCATAAAGATGACTAAAAACTTTCAATAACATAATTAACAAAGTCATGATGGATGAGGAATATCTCTAACAAACATAAAATACTGAAGAAACCAAGAAATCATATAATTATTTCTCATCTATACACTGTACGACCAACGATATGGGCTACTAACCTTGACTTTCAGTAGGCGGATTGGAAACTTACCTTCTTAGAGATCTAACTAAAGCAACTGAAGAGACAAAGGAAAGAAGGAAAAAGATGAAGTAGAGCTGGTTTAGCTTTACCTGAATGATATCAGAGGCAATATTTTCTCTCTCTTCTTCATGTGAAGAAATAAAAGAAGGAAGGCCTCTTCTCTGCTCCATGTCTTCTTCCTTTGCTTTCTTCTCTGTTACTGAAGATGCCTCAGCACCATTTCAGCCAGGAGTTATTAATGAAGTCCTTCAATATTTTATCCAATTAAAATACACCTAATTGTTCACCTGATTAAGATAGTTTGTTTTCTTCAAACCTCAGTGACTAATAAATGAACAGGATGTGGTAAGTGGGAAGAAGATGAAAGAAATTATTAGTTAAAGGCTTAAAGCTCAGCCTTAGCACTAATAACCTTTTTTTTTTTTTTTTTTGAGAGGAAAGCACTCATAATCTATAGCAGATTTTCTCATATATATATATAGATATATATATTGGAATTTGTGTATGAATTTATTTATTAACTATTCCCCAAAAAAAATATTATTAAAATCATTTAAGGGTAAAAAATTAAGATAAAATATTTGAGTATTTTAATCAAATAACTATACTTTTAAAATCAACCTCTTATATTCATCTAATAATTTCAATACAACAATAACTTCAAGCCTATCTTGTTACGTGAGGTCAGTTATATGAAATTGTTTTCTTCGTTGTGTTCTATTAATAGTCAATTTCTCATTTAAATATAATAAAACTAATAATTTCTAATACTTTCTAAACAAGCTTAAAAATGGTAATTTCTAATAATTTGAGTGAAATGTGACTTTTTAAAATATTATGAAAAATAATTTTAAAATTTAAGAAGTATACAATTTATGGGTTCTGATATTAAGAAGCAAGAATTTGAAGGCTCTTAATATGGAGAAATTATTATGTGCAGAATTCGGATGGGAACAACCGTCCGGACATGTGAGTGTACTTACCTAATGTGTGTATATAGATGTGACATACTATATACATTATATACATAATATGTGCACGCTCATAATTTGAACGATTGTTTTCGTCCGAACTCTGCAGTGAATAATTTTCCCTTAATATAAGCAGAAGAAGAAAGAAAAAAAGGCAATGAAGTACAATCAGTACCTGCATGATTATTTTCAAAGTGTTTGCAAATCATATTGATACTGATCTTACTTCTTTTGCATTATAATGAATTTAGAATTGTTGTAAAGAAGCCAAAATTGAAGAAGTAATATTTTATTGTTTATGACTTTATATATATAGCTCTAATATTGTGTTAATAAGTTGTTTGCCCCTCAAAATGATGATAAGTTTTGGAGTACTTGCCAAGATATTTGATGCCATAGCTTGCATGACATAGAGGATTTGTTAGAAGTGTTTTAGATTTCATTTCAGACAGTTTCCTTACTGTTTTTTAAAATAATTTTTTAGTACAAAAAATTTAAGTTAAAACTTTTTTATACTAAAAAACTATTTTATAAAATAGTAAGAAAGTTGTTCTAAACAAAACCTTAGTGAGTTAGAGGCAACTCATTCTTGAATATATATTATACTATATTTTTAGTCCAAGTCCTTTTTACAATAAAGTTTATGATATATATCATAAATAAAATCTCATCTTTCCTTAAAAAATTAAAATTATCATAAAAATTTATTAAGCATATTCTATTGTGCTTATGTGATTGTATATATTATTCATAATAACTTGCTTAAATTAATTCTAAGTTTACAAATTAGTTGCTATTTTGAGCACATTTAAATGTTTAAATAACAAATGGAATGATAATGACATTATTAATATGCTTTTGTTGGATGAATGAAACCAACAAATTTGTTATTGGGACGGCTTTCTTATTGCTTCTTAAAGTAATATTTTAGTACAAATTTTATTGTACTAAAAAGTTGCTTTAACAAGCAATAAAAAAGCCGTCCCAAAAGCCTTAAATTTGAATCTTAAAATATGTGACATGTAATAATTTAATAAAAAGTTGTCTTATACATGATTTAACAAATGAAAGCCTCTCTCTCACACAACTCTCCTTGGCCTATTGGTTGAGAGCTTAGTCTTCCAACTAAGAGGTCCAAGGTTCGAGTCTATGTGTATGCGTTGTGTGTGTAAAAAACAAAAAAAAAAAAAAAAAAAAAAAAAATCAGTATGTTCAATGAAGTCAAAAGACATATGATAAAGAGTATTATCACCAATGAATTTGTCAGTATGTTATGCTATATTGTATCAATATTAATGCCAGTATGAGCTATCAATCAGTTTAATGTACTATCAGCTAAATATCATCATGAGTATAATTATGAAAAACAAGATAAGACATGCAACTTTAATATAGTGTTTGCTTACATTTGCTATCTATCAATCTTATCTTATCTTTTATTTATTTATATTATTAATTTATTTTCACATGTGACTTTTAATAATTATTTAAGAGTCGGCACCTTCTACCCGTCTGCGTAATTCAATCAATCAATTACATGCTACAACTAGGATTACACCACTAACCTTTTATTTAAAGGAAAGCTCGTCGGCCCACCCTCTTACGTAAGGTATTATATTTTAAGAGCTAACTCTCATTCTTACGTAAGGTATTATATTTTAAGAGCTAACTCTCATTCATTATAAAATTAACAGTCAATATTCATTGCTTACATGCAAATACTATCTTTTTTTTATATAACACAATTCAATATCATGTACAAAATGCAAAAAAAATATAAATATAGGAAAATAAATCAAATTTGTGTATTATGCATTACTTTAAAAAATCATATCTTTCAATATAACTGGTACAAATTTAATATGTGACAGTTAAAATATTCATGTTGACGAAATCAAAGTTCTCTTTTCTCTCTCCTCTCAGTCCTCTCTCAATTTCCTAATGCATTCTCTGTTAGCCGAATTTAGGAAATGAGAAAAGGAATTTAATAAAGTCATATAATGCTTTTAGATATTTAGGATGTCAATTCTTCCAAATTTAGGCCTTGAGATGTCAAACTTGTAATCTTATACAAAACTTTAATTCTCTCTCTTCATGCAAACTTTTTTGTGCAAAATTAGATATAAATTTTCTTGTATTATGTTAATAAAGCTTCTATCTTTCAAGACTTTATAACAAGGTAATCCTAAATAATTTATGAATTATAGTAAAACTTATCTCATTGAGGTTCCTTTTTTTTTTTTATCATCCTAATTGAGAATATAAAGGGATATTTAGATAAAGAGGTCCCCTTTATCTCTCTTCCTTGTCATAGTTTCTATGGACACTTTTTCATCTCTTTAGGCCCAACAGTTTGTTGCCAAACATCTCCATTCTATGGAGAATGAAAAAATGCTGATATATCAATAAATCTATGTATACGATCTTTTGGTTCTTGTCAAAGCGGATCATTCAGCTTTCTAAGCTCTAAAGAGTAATCATTAACTATTAGAGAGATAGTGTGGTATATATATATTAATCTCTCTAAACTTGATGAATATTTTAAAGTTATTAATCTAGATCTTCTATGTAATATCATTGGCCTTATACTTTCGTAGAACTCCCACTTACTACGAGGAAAATTCAAGTTAAATATAGTCAGTACCTCCCACTTACATAAATGTTTTCCTTGGTAGATATCAATTCATTTTGTCATGTTTTGAAAAATTTAATCTCCTATTGGTTCCACTTGACATCCTTATCAAAATATGTCATTGAAAAGATTTCTTCTATAACTTGCTATTTTTTCTTTGATGGATGTATTTCTAAGAAGTTTCACATTCTTTCATAGGAACACATCACACTCCCAAGTGAAAAGGAGAGCATGAGGTTCTTCTCAATATCCAACCTTAATTTGGTTTCTAAAATGGAGATAATTTGGAGACTATTTTGCTTCTCTACTCCTCTAAATGATGTTTGGGGAGTTGTGAGGCTCTTTGGGATAGGGATTTTAGGAGGGGTTCCCTTCTCTTAAAAGAACTATCCCTTATTGCTTTTAAGATGAGAAGATTGCTTTTATTTAGTCTTGAGGATGGAAATAGCATTTTCCTATTCAATGATTTGTGAGTGGCAAGAATTTTTTTTATAAATATTTTGGGCTCAATATGCCAAAAATGCTCCATGGAGAATAGCTACTAGCTGCTCCCTCTTTACTTGGCTCCTTCCTTTCCTCTTTTATGTACTTCAATTTCTAGTGTTGCTATAAAAGGAGGCATTAATAAGATTCTGTGGGGCTTAGACTCCCAATTCTTTATTAAAATTGCTATTAAAGACATTTTTTAATATGAGCCAAATGCGGATTGGCATCAATTTATATGTTCAAGGAATCTTCTTTGAATTTTTTATGTACTATGGTTGGCTTATTCTGAAGGATCAAATTTTTTTTTTTTTGTAACGAGGAAGCACTGTCCTTAAGCCAGTGAAAACTCTAGTCGACCTAACATGCAGCTCATACCAATTTACACGGGCCAACACTTAAGGCTTTCACAACTTGCCAAGTGATTCAAACCAGGGACCTAGGCTTTGCCCAACCGACTCTTCACCACCCAGACAAGCAGTGATGGGTAGGGTCAAAAAAATAGATAAGCTTTTAGCTAGGGGTTTACATATTCAAGATGATTTTGAATTCTATAATTTTGATCGTGAAACTAGCAATTATCTTTTATTTCAGTGCCCTTTATCCTTTGGGCTGTTAAGGATCTTGCTCCCTCCCCTGTGACTCATTCTTTCTAATAGAATTTACCTTCAAATTAGTCTTGGTTGATTCTCTTAATGATGCCATTTAATTGAAAGAAGACTACATTTCCTTATTTGCTCTACACTAGTATATATTATTTACAGGGTTAAAAATGTAAATCTTTTCTCTCAAGTTAATATTTATAGGATTGTTTTAGTTGGACAAGTTAAGTCTTTAGTAGCATACAAGTTGAGGTGTAAATCTAAAAGTACCAAGCCTAAGAATATGAAAATAGTTCTTAAGACTTGAAAAATTGATTACAGAAATGGTGAAGAGCTCTAATTTTGGCTATTATCCTTCATGTTTTTTCTCTTCTTGGTGCTCTCCTTGGTCCCCTTGGGCTTATGCATGTTGGAGTAGAATCAGTTCACTTCCTTTTTTGGGGCTTTTACAGTTGATTTTTGAAGTGACCTCTCCAATTCTTGCCTAATTTTCATTCCCTATTAGATTTTGGGCAACGATGTTAAATCATGATGCTTTAAGGGCTAAAATGAATTCTATGAGTACTTTTGCACCCCCACAAATGCTAACCCTTTAATAATGATGCCAAAAACATTTACATTGCAGTGAAAGGCACTTGCACAGCGTTTTCTTCACTGAGCCCAATTTAAGCTTTTGTTTGCAAGCTATTATTTGTCACCTGGATTGTGAGGTGATCCCTCATCCCATTCTTTTGTCTTTTGTTGAGCTATTTTTTTAATGTATAAATTAACATTTGCTCATAGCTTTCTTTAGGGGCTATTTGGTAGCAGGATTTAGGCCGAATTTGAGACAGATTTGAGCAAAATCCAGACAAACAGCCTAAAATGCAAAACCAAATCAAACGGCAAATGAAAGCCATCGTAGATGGAAAATTCCTCCTTTTTGTGCTAAATCCAGGATTTCTGAAATCCTGCTTTTTGTCGGATTTACGAAATCCGTTGGCTCGAGAGGAAGAGTCTGTTCGTTAAATCCATTTTATAGCCAAACAGTCACACGGGATTTAACAGAATTTGGACCCCTCGGATTTAGCGGATTTGCAAAATCATACTTAAATCAAATCTTGGGTGCTACCAAACAGCCCCTTAGTTTAATTTTTTCTTTTTATTAATGGAATCGGATAATGCCCTCGTAGTTTCTCCTGCCTAGATGAATCCACTTATGTCTCTGCTTAGATGTCAGTTGTTTTAGTAATTTGCCTGTTTATGCAAAGAAATATAACAAACAACAATAAAAAAGAATCATATTACTTGTACTCATAAGCCCATAAGCCAACTAAGATCTAGCATTGAATGCAAAGAAATACCATAAAATAGGTGAACCGGCAGGCAAAACATATCCTACTAGTTCTCAGTCCAACACAAAAAACTGAATTAGACAAACTTTACAACATACCACTCACAATACAACAAGAAGTTGACAATAAAAAAGCACTCGGAAAACCAAGGAAGCCATACAACCGAGGCAACCTACCCAAAAACAAATTAAAAACAGAAACTAATCATCATTCAAAGTAGTAGTTTTCCTTGTCGAAGCTACTCACCAAATTCTTTTCCCTTGGAGGCATAGAATTTAACAATCTGGAAGAACTCAATGTAGGATCAAGAGAGTCACTGTTCTTTATGTCAATGTAGGATGATGTCTTCTTATGAAAGAAAGATTGTTTATGCATTCTTGTCCTTTGACTAGATGAATTCCTCTGCTTTGCCTTGATTGATTCAGTCATGTTCATGTAACTTGGCCTGCTACCGCAGGTATCTTCTGTCCTTCTTGATGCTAAGATAGTTGTAGCAGATGTTGGGGTTGATGTGCAGAAAGAAGAAGATGATGGTGAACTCTCATCATAATGAAATTCATAACTTGGTGATGAAGAAGACCTAGCTTGATGATTGTTGTTAAAAGTAGGTACAGGTTTCACTGAAATCCTTTTCGTTACGCTGTTTTTCTTGACTTTAATCAAACAAGCTTCAGAAACCTTGGAACTGGAATCAGACAGCTTTGAACATGCACCATGGAAATCTTCAGAGTTCTTCAAAGATTGAACCTCAGATGGTTCTCTATTGGTGGCCTGCTGCTCCATCAGCCTATTTTCCCATGGTTTTGCTGCCATCCAGCGCTCTAACCAGCTCCAGTTGACATTATTCTTACCTAAATCATGTAGCTTCATTGAAGCAAGAGAGTGGTTAGACCTCCCACTTGAGGAGGACCTACATTTCTGAGTACAGAAAAGAAAAATTACTCCATCAAACTAAACTATGATATGCAATACTCATTATATAAATGTTAATGAAACATGAAGAACATACATACTTGTTGAGAATGAGAGTAAGCCATGGCTCTGTCTCTCTTGATAGCACCCTCTTGCCTCATCTGTAACTTAACTTTCACTTGCTCTAGTGTACCTTGACTATCACACCAGCCTTCCTGAATATGTTATAACGCAAGAAACCCATGAAAGAGCTAATCATCTATCAGTTCTCAGTAAAAAATTTAAAAGCATGTAGGTGCAGGAACAAGTCCAAACCAGTCAGACATATCATCAAACACTATGTGTGCAGATTACCTCGGCCTCTTTCAAGATATCCACTTTGGTGCGCCTGGTCTCGAGCATCTTTTGCACAGCCTGCCCTTCGGTTGAAAGCCTTACTCTCCGCGCGCGAATCCGTGCTTGGACTCGAACAAGAGCTTGCATGCATCTTAAGGTGACTGCCGCCTGCTTCCGCACCTGACGACCTCGAACCAACGCCTGAAGCCTAACTATCCCTTTCAGCGCTCTCAGAGCTCTTCTAGCCTATACATCCAAACAATAAAGAATTTGAACAAAGAAAATGGAACTCCGAGAGAGATAGAAAGAGAGCTGATTTCTACCAGGAAACCACGGAAAGCTGTCTGTATTCTTATGGCTGCCCACTCCTGACGCAAAGCGAGGAAATCTTTGGGCGGAGCACGTATAACTGCTGCCATGGCGGCAGTGAAGGCATCAGCAGTGGCCACTGAAGAAGTTTCCGAAGCCTCTGATGCCGACCGCCGGCTGTTTCCCTTTGAACCCCTCCACAAAAATCCACGATCTCCCGAGGAAGACCTCCATAGCTTCTTCCATTTCCTGCTCTTATCCCCACTGCCTCCACCACACACCTTCTCCTTCATACACAATGCACACAAAAAGAAAAATTTAAGCATAAAAACTCAAATGAATGGTGTGTTGAAAGACTCGATCTGCTTACAAGTTCATCCTTTTCCTGCTTCTTGAGACCAATCAGCGACTTTATCCACTTCCCAGAACCACCCATTTCACAAATTCTCTCCTTTCTACCAAAAAATCACAGCTTTCTCTCCGAGAGTGTATTGGAAACAGGAAGAAACCAGTGAGAAATCCTAGCTTGAAGTGGGTTAATGGGGAGGAGAGACGTGCGAAGCCGTTTGATATTTGAAATTCGAAAACGAGTGGGAGAGAGGGAGTTGGGCAACGGGAAAAAAAGACAAACCCGGGCCTGATAGTTGGTTCTTTTTTTATTGGGAGCTGTGAAGCGATATACGGTCGATCACCATGAACGGTTGGATAGAGGCCGTCGCATGCGGCACGCTCGCAGACGTTTACGATGAAGCCGTTCATGTTTTGCTGGACCCTTCTTTTCTGCGAGAAAATGTCGGAGAAGGACAGCGGTTCAGGAAATAAATTATGCGAACCGATAGATTATTGGTGATTGGGTACGTTCTGGAAGTCAATTTGAAGCACGCTCGCATATTTTTCCATTGAAACATGAGATGATTGTCTTCGTTAATCCAACTAATTATGATTATAATCTAAATGGAATATAATTATTAACTAATTAATGATTCTTCTCGTTGTTGGCGATTTGCTTAAGAGAGAGATTCGTTTGAAAGAAAAATAAAAGTATAAGTAAATTTTAAATTTATTGATTTATTTTGAGATCAATTATATTTATACAAAATTATCTATCATTAATTTTAATATAAATTTAATCATATTTGTTAGTAAAATTCAAATTGGATAATTAAAGTGGAGGAATGTATCAGTCCCTTTTGTGATAGAAAAATATCTCTTAAATTTAAGAGAAACTCCTATAAGATGACGGAGAGATTTGCAGTACTTTATCGAGTTGAATGTTGCTGAGATGAAGATGCTCAAGTGGATAAGTGATTTTACACTTAGAGATAAAATATGAAACGAGTATATACTTGAAAAGGCTGGAGCAACTCCAATGGCAGATAACATTCAAGAGAGTTGTCTTGGATAGTTTGGTCACAAAAAAACATTGGCCAATGGTTGACTCGATTAAGAGAGTAGATGAATCAGATAGATTTGTATATGTTGAGCAAGGTGAAGGTACACCTAAAAATATTTGGTTAGAAAGTATTAGAAATGATCTTTTGTTAATTAGATTTAAATAAAAAATAAACTCTTAATAGAATATAATAGAGAAATATAATTCATTTTTTATTTTTTTACCATAAATAAAACATCATTAAAAAAGGAAGATGCAACCAGGACCTCACAAAAAAAAATTTACAAAGAAAAAAATATCAATAAGAGAAGCAATCAGAGAAAGGGTGTTTGCCAACCCAACAGAATCACAATTGCTAAACCAGGCCACAAACAACATCAGAGGAACCAAACGAAGAAGAAGAAAAACCAGTAGCCACCCCAAATCCAAATGGAATAATAATTTCTTCTTCGATTTACGTTATTTATGCTTGCTTTTCTTAGTAAAAAAACAATATCAACAATTTGAAGAATAATTAGAACAAATTTCTCTCTAGAGTCTAATGATTTCTCATTAAATTCCTCCCCAGCAGCTGATGAAATGTCATCATTTAACCAGTCACCATGTATAACCTCATAATCCCTCTTATTACAAGGTACGTGAGCTATCAAAGCATCAATTAAAAGAACGAATATAGGAACATCAACAAGAGGCACACCAAAATTTTTTGCCATAGGATCATCACCCTTAGATAAAGAAGCACTAAAACGATCTGGAGTATCCAAAGAATCAGCACCGTTACTATAATTAAGAGGCAAATTCCTACCCGTAGGTGAGACACATGCACTGTCCCTAGGGTCTAGAGGGACAGAATCATCAGAAAATGTAGTTTCACAATCATAAACATCAACATTAACATTAGAATCAGGAGGTATGATAGGACTAACTATCAAATTTAGTAAGTGATGGTTAGGATCACAAACCTCAACAAAATCCTCATTAATTCCACATGGAGGAGCCTCACAAGCTTCAACTACATCCTCATTATTTCTATAGGAAGAAGCTACCGACAAAACAATAGACAACTACACATTAATTCCAATAACAACTTGCCCAGGAGGGAGCAAAACATCTGTATCAAGCACAACCAAATGCCCCTCCTCACTAGAATACAAAACGCCATTAGTATCGGTATCATCATGATTAACATTCAAAGGTATTTTGTTACCATTATTGATTAGCTATGTATCAATAGGCACATTAGAATGGGCATTAAACAAATTGTGGTGCAAGATATTGCATTCAGATTTCGAATGGCCCAAAGCTTTATAGTGAGAGCAATATGACAGAAAATCTTCCATAAGAACCGACTGGATGTAACCTAAACTATCAGGGCCAACCCACACCTTATTTGGAAAATATTTGGTAACATCTAATTCCACCAAAACATGTGTAATCGAAGGTCTAGAGCCACTGGATGTAGCATGATCAATTTTAAGGGGGCGGTCAAACATGAAATGAAGTCCATGAAGAATCCTAGGAGAGAATAGATAGGGTCTCAAATTAGGAAACGACACCTAAATAGGAATAATGGGCGACTCAACATAAACATCAAATTAAGGCGACCACTTAATCATCTTCATAACAATTGTTAATAAAATACGAGCGGTGTGCAAAGATATGACAATAATCCAAATCATTCACAAACTTAATTAACACATGCTTAGGATTTTGAACAGTTGCCAAAAACTCACCGATGAGCTTAAGGTTGAAAATTTGTTTTTGAATAGCTTCAAGGGAGGGTCTATGGGTAGGAAATTTGTCAACCAAAGTGTATTCGATAGGAGCAGCGAGCACTAGAATATTGGCCTCCAAAATCCACAACAAGGGCAAACCACGGTGAGAAGTGATTTTAAGGTATGGAAAATAGGAAGAGAAAACTGATAAAGCATTACGAAAAGACCTAGAAGAGGTTTTGCCATCCAGAAATCCGGGATCCACTAATCACTTATTGGCCATCGATCCAGACTGTAAGGGAAATTAAAACACCTGAGAAAGAACGAAACTCAAGGAATGCACAAAATTTAAAGGCAAAAAACTTACATGAAGCGAGAAGCGATGTTGGAGGCCATGGCAAGGTAACAGATATGGGAGCACCATGCGAGGGAGAAACCTAGCAGAGCACATATGTTGGGGGGTGCAAAAAAGGGCTCGGAGAAAAATGATTCATATAACTAATCCATAATAAGATAAGGGTCTGATGTTATTGTTGTTGTTACTTATTTAAGTTAATTCAACATAATTTATATTTTAATATATATTTTGAAAAGAAGCGATTGATGTGATACTAATAGTAAACTGTCAATTTGATCAAAATTTTGTAAATTTGTTTTTAAGATTCTGAATTTGTCTCAAAGCCCATATGAATTATGAAGGGAAAAAAAAAACTAAGAATTTTTTTTTAGTATTTTTATACATAATCTTTTGAGCAACAAAAAAACTATTTTTTTATAATTAATGTAGCATTATGGCTTTTTGCTATTGTTTATTGATAATTTTTACCTTTATAACCCCACCGCCCGCGAACGCACACACACACACACACAAATTTTAGGGTTTAGGGTTATAAATATCTATAAAAAAATATTAATTATAATAATAATCCTTTTGGAGCTTGGAAATGACCCATCCTCCCAAAGGATTTTAAGAATTTTTGGGAGTAATCAAAGGGATTCTAAGGACACATTACATATGGTAGTGTTCTTAATATTGAAAGAAAAAATACATATTGGTCCTAGTATTAGTCAAGTAGTTCTTGGCTCCAAAAATTTGCACCCTAGCCTCTCCATGGACCCCTTTCTTTCTTTTGTTCATGTTGTCGAGGAGGTTTTTAATGATTAAGTTCCAAGGCAAATTTTTAGAAGGAAAATTAGGTTTTAAATAAGGCACTACCCAGAGATTTCACCCTCGTGTTGCAAGAACTTTATGACCGAGTTCTAGTTTCTTGTAGGCGCAAGCCCCTATAGTTAATTAACCCTCTTGATATTGAGAGAGAATTTTCAATTAAGGTTAGTCATCAAATAGATACGTAGTATCTAGCATATATATAGTACTGCGTGTTTTGGAATTTGAGGATTAATTTTTTTTAACTGAAAATTTTCACCATCTTGTACTTAAAGTGGATGTTAGGGGGAATGATGATGAACCCGATCAAGATCCCATGGTTCCATCATCCCAGACCATTGTGGTTCCTGGTCTACTTAGTCAGAGGAGGTAGTTGATCCAACATGATAGAAGGATTCTTATTGGCAGTTATGGATTGCACCGTCCAAGGAAATCTTGTAGACTTTGGGTGAATATTTATCTAAGGGTAGGGGTGTCAATATTTGACACAACTTGAAAACCCGATACAAAAATTTTGGGTTCGGGTCAGCCCGAACCTGAAACGAGTTGGGTTCAGGTCCTGATTTTCAACCCATTTTTAATTTCAGGTCGGGTTCGGATTGATCCAAAAACTTGAAAATGATCGAGTTTTGACCCGAAATCCTTCATAGCGAGCGAACTCCCATCGTTGCTTCTGATCAAAATGTTGTAACTTCCAATCCAACCGAAAGTGAACATCATCTAAGGAGCAAAGTTGAACACGACGAACAAGAATGAAGGAGCTAGGCCAGCCGATGAGGCTACAAATCCTTCACAACAAGCAAACTCCCATGAGTCCTATCGTTGCTTCTGATCAAAATGTTGTAACTTTTGATCTGAGCAGAAGTGAACGTTTTCCCAAGGGTTGAAATCGAACAGGAACAAAGGAGCCGGTGAGGCGGCGATTCCTTCACTGCGAGCGAACTCCCTTCATTGCTTCAAATCAAAATGTTGTAACTTCCGATCCAACTGGAAGTAAATGTCATCTAAGGAGAAAAGTCGAACAGGAACGAAGGAGCCGGTGAGGTGGCGACTCTTTATCTGCGAGCGAACTCCCGTCGTTGCTTTCGATCAAAATGTTGTACCTTTTGATCCAGCCAGCGAACTCCTGTCATAGCTAACGAAGTCGAATAACACTTTTCGGGCTGGGTTTGGGTTGACCCAAACCAGACCCGAACCCAAAGCGGGTCTGGTTTGGGTCCAAAAAACTAACCCGTTCATAAAAAAGGGATGAGTTCAGGCTGAACCGAATAGTGTTAGGTCAGTTCCAAATTCAACTCAAATCTGACCCGTGACTTGAAATTGACATCCCTATCTAAGGGGATAAATTGAATCCACTTTAG